GGGGTCACCTTGAGCTTCTCGGAGTTGAGCAGCTCGTCCCTGATCTCGCGCAGCCGCGCCTCCTTCACCGCCTGCTTGGTCACCGAGCGCATGGCATCCTTTGGGGGGGCACAGTGGGGTCAGAGGGTGCCACTCCCACGCTAGCACCCCCTCTAAGTCACCAGGACCTTCCCTGGTACCACCAACACCCCCCTGGTGTCGCCAGGACCTCGTCAGTGCCACCAGCAGCCTCCTTTTCCCCCCAGGCCCGCCGGTGCCCCCCGTACCCGGCAGCGGTAGCGCAGCGACTCGATCTCCTCCATGCAGAACTTGTAGGGCTGGAGCATGGACTGCCCGTTCTCTGAGGGGACACAGAGGATCACACCAGCCCCCCAGTGTCCCCCAGCCCCCCAGGTGGCAGAGGGACCCCCAAACCTCCTGCCAGCGCGTCCTCGATGCGGGTGAGCCCCTCGTGCTCCTCGGGCAGCGCCAGGGTCAGTGCTGTGCCAGGGTTGTCACCACGGGCTGTCCTGGGGGGTGCAGGGGGGACACAGGGTGGGACCACGGCCAGCCTGGCACCCCTGGGGTCCCCCCAGTGCCCACACAGACCTGCCCACACGGTGGATGTAGGACTCGACTGTGGGGGGGACGTCAAAGTTGATGACGGCCGAGACGTTCTGGAAGTCGATGCCCCGCGCGACCCCATACTCGGGGTCCTGGGCCTTGGCCTTCCCCTTGTCCTTGGCCTTCCCCTTCCCCTTCCTGGGGGAACACAGGGACACCAGGGGTTGGGGGGGCTCAGGAGGGACACCCAGAGCAAGTGGGCATCTGGGATATGGGGACAGGGAGGCTGGGAAAGGGGATCCCCTGGGCACAAGGACATCCTGGGCACGGTGAGGCCACGGTCACAGGGACACCCTGAGCCCCCCAAGGGGGACACATTCGCACAGGAACAGGACACTGGTGGCCACCCAGGTCCCTGGTGATGCCCACAGGACACTGGTGTCACCCATGTCATACTGCTGGCACCAGTGGCTCCCCGGTGGCATCTTCAGGGCACTGGTTGCACTCCCAGGTCCCTGGTGTCACCCCCTCGTTACTGGTGCCACCCACAGGACACTGGCGGCACCAATGGGTCCCTGGTGACATCCCCCAACCCCCGTGCTCACCCCGGGGTCCCCCCTTTCCGTGCTTGGCGCTGGGGGGTCTCCACAGGCCCCTCCTCGTCGGTGGCCACGATGAAGTCGTAGAGGCCACGGTTGAACTGGGCAATGACGTGGCACCTGGGGACAGAGGAGACCCTCAGCGTGCCCACCCCCCTTCGTGTGACACCCCCCAGACACCCCCAGGGACCCCTGTCCTTCCTCATGGGGTGTCCTTAATCCGCCTTCTCCCCTGGCACCCAAGGGACACCCTCTTGTCCCCAGGAACCCCCCTGTGACCACCCAGCTCCCAGGGACCCCCACAGTGTCCTTATCCCCCCCCAGCACTTCCCCTGGCACTCCACAACTCACCTGGGACACCCCCTTTGTCCCCAGGGAGAACCCCCAGGGGCTCAGGGGGCATGCCAAGGCTTTCTCCGGGTGCCCCATCACTCCCCGAGCCCTTCGAGGACCCTGTGAGCACCCCTTTCTCCTCTTTACCCTCTTTCCCACCTCAAGGACACCCCATCTCATCCAGGCACCCACCATCTCCTTGGGAATACCAGGAGCAAGTGGGAATCCCAAACTGATCTCCTTCGTGGACATCCCTGAGCACCCCATTATCCCCTTCACCCTCTTTCCCACCATCCCAGGAACACCCCACCCCACCCAGGCCCCTTTCCCGCCCTCTGGAATGCGGAGACAGCATGTGCAGCTCTGAGCTGAGGGTGCAGGTGGGGATCCCAAACTGAGACCCTTCACGGGTACCCCTGTCACCACCTCAGGGACACCCCTGCGACCCCAGGGACACCCCTGTGACCCCAGGGACACCCCTGCGACCTCAGGGACACCCCAGGGCCCCCCCAGTGCCCCTGG